TGCGAAATTTCCCCATAGGAAACATCGCTAAACGGAGTGCAAGATTGCTCCAAAAACCTCATCGCTAAGCGAATACATCGTTAAACGAGGCAATCGCTAAGCGAGGCACCACTGTATAGCATTGTTGGAAAATTCCGTAGGCATATATATATGTAAATGTGTATATTGTAGAAGTACACATCCTGCATTTTACTTATTATTTGTTTTTATATTTAACTTATGGTTAAATGCTTTGATGCCTTTTTTTTTCTAGTGAAAATCTATCAAAGGATCTTTACTTGATGTCCCAAATGGACAGTGATCAGTTTATTCCAATATGGACAATCGCTAACATGGAAGGAATTAAGAAACTGACAACCAATGTGGATCTTATTGTAGAAGTGCTGAGATGTATGTTTAAATCTTTCCTGTGGCTTTGTGCTAACTGAATTTATTAGAATATGGTTTACATATTGTATCTCTCTGTGGACCAGTCCTTTATACCAGTGGTCCCCAAAGTTTTTGGGATCGTGGACCATTTCGGGGGTGCAGGCTTGGTGCACGGACTGGTTGGGGGGTGGGGGCACCCCCATGCTGGCGGGTGGGTGTGTCACGCTCACACACGTGTGCGGAAAGGGGAGCCTGAAACTAGACCTCCCACCTCCACACTTATAAGACATGCCCCCCAAGAGTCCTGTCTCTCCCACGGCACTGCGACTGGTGGGCATAACTTCTGGTGGGAGAGATGGTGAGGAGGGACCAGAGAGCCACCCGGATAGTCTCCGTGCTAGTCTCACGACCAATCAACTGACCAACCAACCTTGCTACCAGGAAAGTGGGTGGGAGGACGGGATCCCCCCCGGCTTGCTCCACCTGGAGAGCAACGAGTGGCTCCGGCAGCAGCAAAGCAGCCCTTCCTCCAACCCTCCTCCTCTCCCTCCCCCCTGGCCTGGCTCTTCTCTTCAGACCTTTGCTTGGTAGCCAAGCAGCCCTTCCTAGCAGGCTCTGAGGAGGTGATCCCTGGCGTTACCTTTACCTTTCCCCAGGATGCGGCAGCACAGGTTCTGCAGGAGGACATTGGGAGACTTCTGATCCAGGCTTGCCATCCTGGCATTGGCGGGAGGGGAAAAGGTGCACCCTCACTCTCAGTCCCCCACCTCAGCTTCCGAGGGTCGCTTCTCCCCTGCCCTGTCTTCGCCTACCCTGTTATTTAAAGTGCCATTTTAATAGAACTGGCGAAGGAAAGGGGGAGGGAGAGGGGCAGGGGAAACCACCATGGTTTTCAAAGGCGGCCTCACAGTTTGGGCGGTGTAACACCGTACCCTTCCCGTCGCGGAAATGCGGCCAAGAGGTTCCGCTTATTGATGAATAAGCGCTGTCATAAAACATGGGACGGGGGTGGGATGGGAGAGAGTGCTTCTGCATCTACTACGGTAGGCCATCAAGATTGTTATATATACATATATATTTAAAAAGACATCCCCACCCACCCCTAGCTCCGCAGCGTAAAGAACGCCCCCACGCCTCATGAGCAAGCATTTGTTTCAGGGAGGGACAGAGGAGTAGGAAGACTCTCCCCCATTAAAATGTCTTCCTTCTCCTACATATGCATGATGTGGGAAGAACCTATTGTGCCCAAACCTCTGGGTACTTTTGGTGAAACAGCCTCTCACCCTTTTATTTCCAGCCTCCCTTCTCTGTCCATAAAAAGACCCCTAGCCCCGCCTCTCAGAAGATGCAGCCTCCCTTGCAAGGCAGCTGAGCTGAGACTCTCAGCGGGAAGGGGGGTTCTGTCCGTCCACCTGTCGGTTGGTTCCTCCTTCTCCCTTCCCTCTGCACAGGCCAGGGCTGCAGGGCGAAGCCCGAGGTCCCCAAGAGAGGGGAAGGTGTCCAAGCAGCAACAGCTCTGTGCCTCAGGCAGGGAGGGGAAGGAGCGCAAAGCCAGGCAACAAGACTTGATCAGACACACCTCCTGCCCCTCAAGGCTTGGCGCGGCAATAACAATAGGGTGGCCAGTACAGCATGTCCCCCCCTTTTTATATCATGTACCACATGATACTTCTCCGCTTCCTTGCCCTCACAATGGCACAGGTGTGATGCTTCTCCGCCTCCTTGCCCTCACAGTGGCACAGGCTGTCGCATGGCATGGTGAGAGATGCAGTTGCCTCTCCGTTTGTCGCGTGGCATGGTGGGAGATGCAGTCACCTCTCCGTGGGCAGGGTCACACTAGTCTAGTGTAAAGGCTTCAGTTGACTTACTTCCTTGTTCTGTGACATGCCGGCTGCGAGCGTGACACGCCCCCACGTGCATGGGGGGCCGGGTGGAGGTCTGTATCGGTGGCCCGGTTCTGGCAAGCCCACGGACCGGTGCTGGGCCGCAGACCGGGGGTTGACGACCCCTGCTTATACTATTGTGCTAAATCTTGTAATCTTGTAAAAACCAGAGCTTGATGGCTAGCAGCTGGAATATGTACATCTGAAACCACACATGAAATTTTCATCATTATTGGAAATCTGACCCTCCTGAAACTGGAATATGGAAAGAAATCCTCTTCTAAGAAATGTTGTTTCCTTAATTTAGTTTGACATAGCGTATTTTATAAATGCGTACTTATTTCTGAAGAAATGAAAGTGATTTCCAATCTCTTGATGAAAATTTGCTATTCTTTGTGATTTGGTACATTTTAAAGCAAAATCCTAGCAATTTTCAGATGCATGTTATTGAAAGAAAATATTTATTTATCCCAGGTATGCCATATAATTATTTAGGAAGGATTAAATGCTAATAACTGTGCCTGGTCTGCTTATTATGGTCCCAGATGCAACTTACTAAAGCTATTCCACCAGAGGAGAAATCAGTATTATGAATATGAGCACAGTTCTGTTCTTGAATGCTTATTAGAACTAAGTGAAATAACTATTTCAAAATATAAGCTTACATTTGGACAAAGAGGAATGGGGTGGGTGATCAAGAAACTTAGTGTATTTTATGTGTCTCTCTCTGGGCCTCACAGTCTTCTATCTCTTCCTACCATTTGAAATGGGGAAACTGTTTTTGAGATTCTTGTTCTGTGCTTTCACTTAGCTTCCCCTATAGTCCAAGTGGATGAGAGAGGAGAAAAAGTTAGGCCAAACCATAAGCGATGCATTATTATTCTCCGTGAGATCCCTGAAACAACTCCTGTAGAGGTAAGAAATTTATTTGAGTGTTATAGTCAATGTGGCAATTTGGAAAGGTTTTTTTGCTGGAAGAAAATGTAGTTAGATATAAAATAGTCAATCAGTTACCAAGGTTAAACTCTATTAAACATTGATATTGGTGCTGTGAAGCAAGTTTTGACCCACTTTGTATTGATAACCTTGCAAATAGTCAATCAGTTACCAAGGTTAAACTCTGTTAAACATTGATATTGGTGCTGTGAAGCAGGTTTTGACCCAATTTATATTGATAACCTTGCGACATGGTGGTTAAACTGCCGTATTGCAGCCAAACACTACTCACGACCAGGGTTCAATCCCAGGTAGCTGTCTCAAGGGTCACTCAGCCTTCCCAAACACTACTCACGACCAGGGTTCAATCCTAGGTAGCTGTCTCAAGGGTTACTCAGCCTTCTAGCCCTCTGAATATGATAAATTGAGAACCCAGCTTGCTGGGATGGGAGGAGCAATGTTTATCCTGCATAAATAAATTGTAAACTGCCCCATGGGGCGGTACACAAGCAGCATGCCTTCAACCTAGCTTTTGGAAATCTGATTTGCATATACAGTGGTGCCCCACATAGCGACGATAATCCGTTCCGGGTAAATCGTCGCTATCCGGAAACGTCGCTATACGGGGGCAGAAACCCCCATAGGAACGCATTAAACTCTGTTTAATGCGTTCCTAGGGGGGATAAACTCACCTTTAAGCGAAGAGTCCCCATACGGCCGCCATTTTCACCGCCTTGGTAAGCGAGGAATCAGCGCGAAAACACTGCAGGCAGGCATTTTCTTCATCCGGCAGCCATTTTGAACCGCCGATCAGCAGTTCTGCAAACATTGCAATGCGAAGATCTGTAAGCGAAATGCTTACCAATCATCGCAATGCGATGTTTTGCCTATTAAAACATCGCAATGCGATCGCAAAAAATGCATCGCTATGTGGATTCGTCGTTAAACGGTGCGCTCGTTATGCGAGGCACCACTGTATTTCCTAGAATCTGTAGTGATGTGTATTGTAGTTAGGTAATACTCCTGGTTTGTTATGATTACTGCTTCAAGGGTGAGTTCAGGAGAATAGAAATACATGGCAATGACCCTGCATGTAAAGAATAGCTCTCTGTCAGTCACACTACATTGCAAAGTGTGATCAGGTGGCCTTCTTTCAAAACAAAAACATAGACATTGGAATTGGAAATTTTAAAAATGGGTGTTTGACTTGTCACACACAATTTCTTTTTAATGTACATAGATTAGGAGGTGTATATTCGTTGTTGGCATACATAACAGTATTTCCTTAGGATCAAATATTGCCTTTTCTAATAGAGTTGAATAGTGATATTCATCACATTGGTTGGACAGTGTCATCAAAGCGACCAACATGAATTTGGCCCAGCTCTGGGAGGCAGTAGAAGACAGGAGGGCCTGGCGTGCTCTGATCCATGGGGTCACGAAGAGTCGGACACGACTAAACGACTAAACAACAACAACATTCATCACATTATGAATAGTGATGTTAAAGTATTGTGAACTCCATTTAGTTTTTGACACAAGTGCTTATATGGCAGACCATCCATATTGGTCAGTAGCATGTGTCACAGTTATACTAGTCCCCTTAAATGTGGTTTAGATTAATTTATTTTTGCCTAGCTGTTGAATTTCAATGATTGATCTTTCCGTTTTGTTTTGTTTTTGGCTCCAGGAAGTAAAGGCACTGTTTAAAAATGAAAGCTGCCCCAAAGTGATAAGTTGTGAATTTGCTCACAATAACAACTGGTACATTACATTCCAGTCAGATACTGATGCACAGCAGGTAAGATCTTATACATTCTTTAGCATTTCCTGTGTTGAAGAATGTGCTAGCAATATGAACAGCTAATAACAGTCTTGAGTCTCCTGCCTTTAAGTTGTTGCAAGAATAAAAGTAGACCATTAAACAAATGGAGCCAAAAGTATGTGTGTGTGGAGGAGGTGGGGAGTGCAATAGCAAAAGAATGATCTGAATAAATAATGTGTCATAGAGCAGTTCATGTTGCCAACTCACTTTGACTTGCAAGAGGTTAGTTCATTGTATCTGAGATGAAGTGTACAGATAAGATACCAAATTATAGGACCTTTAGAGTAAGTTTATCTCTTCATTGCATCAAACAGCAATTGGATAATCCACATCTATGGTAATAATGAATTCTGACAGAGTCAGTCAGTTCAGCATGGGTATCTCTGAACTCTTTTGTTCTATCAAGGACTAAGACAATTTCATCTTCTGGTGTCTTCCAGATGTCTTAAAATATAATTCCTTATATCTCTGGCCACAGGCTGAATTTTATGGGCTATTGTGAATTCTTGTCCAGATTGTCTGGAAGACATATGTCAGAGAAAGCTTCAATATGGAATGTTTATTTTTAAAGCGTTCATTCTGTAGTAGTGTCATGCATGTACTGTCAAAACTGTACACAAGTACTGGTTGTGACTTTGAAAGAGAAGGATATCTGGAATTTGTCTTTAAAGAGATGGGCAATGTTGTCTCTAATTGTTATCCCTCCTGTATGTGGGGGTGGGCGGGCTTTCATCTAAAACTCAGAAGTTAAAAGGCATCAACCCTGGCTGTGCTGATGGAGGTCTGTATGCCTGTGCGCACCATAGAGGGAATGTTGGAGATGAATAAATCGAGATAGTTTTGTCAAACACCAACAGACTTCAAACAAGAGTCTCTTCAGCAAATTCTTTTGCTGCACTAGTGACAAAATACTGGGTTCTGCTAGTACAGTTAATGTCATATTTTTTCTGTGTGTCAGAGTAGTCTGCATGTGGAGCTATACATCTGACTTGTCTGTCAGCTTTCAGGAAATGAAAGGGGTAGAATTCTTTTTAAAAATCAGATGAGACAAAGTACTTTTAATCTTAATACTGTACTCTAGTGGCAAAGTCTTATTTGTTCCTAAAGTATCCAAATACCCTGCATTCTTCTTACATTTTTATTTGGTGTAGCTTCAATTTAGGCAAATAGTTTCAGAAACGGCATTGTTTTAGAAGTGTGGTTGGCGAATGGAACTCTTACTAAATGTTTTCCCATATGTATAGGCTTTTAAATACTTGCGAGAAGAAGTGAAAACCTTTCAGGGCAAGCCTATAATGGTAAGTCTTGAATTTTCCCTGGTCTTAAGTCATATTTTGGTATTTTTAAAATGGGCTCTGTACTATAATTTAAAGACAAGGTTGGTTCAGCAATACTTTATTCTTGATCTTCTGATTATTGTTTTTGAAACCATAGTTTAACAGTACTGTGGCGAATAGGAGTTTCCTCTATTATGTTTTGGGACTGTGACCTTCAGACTTCCCAAGTGACACCTTCCAGAATTGTACTGCAACTGTTAGAATTCTCCAAAAGTTCCCCAGGCAGAATTCTGTGGGTTGCAACCCACAAACACATACATAGCTCTATACTCGAGTGCTGCACAAGAGTAGGCCTGAGGAGGGCACTGGCAAAAGCAGTAGCAGTACCAAGGTGGCCTCCCCTGGAGCCTTGTGAGTTCTGCTACTGCAATGATTAGTGGCCAACGCATCCAGCAGAGGGAAGCTGATGCTGTCCCCTATCACCCAGAATGTCCAGTAGATGTGCTGTTTCTGCCCTTCTTTCAGAAAAGGAGCACAGTACTATGCAGTCCAGACAATGGGGGATGTTGGTGGTTTCCCTCTCTCAGATGCTTTGGCTGTTGTTGGTTACTGTGCAGTACCCAAGAGAGACAGCTCGTGGGGCTGCCTTAATCCTAGTTGTCATCACTCACAGCTCCAATACAGCCTGACCTTCTGGACATCTGTGGGGTGGTGTTACTTCATGAAGAGCTGGGATGTGGAGGTATGCAGAATTGTGTTTGTGGTCTTAGGATCTTAAATTTCTGCCTGGGGAATTCTTTCAGAATTCTGGGATTAGCTTTCAGAATTCTGGGATTGTGGGAGGTGCTGCCTGGTGAAATCTAGAGGTTGCAGTTGAAAAATACAAAAAGAATATGCTCTATGTGGCTAATGTTATCAACAACCATAATTAGTCAGGTTTTAGGCAGCGTTACTGCTGATGTAAGCCTGTTGTGGAAGAGAGGGATAAGTTTTCATATGAATGGGGAAAGTGAAGGGTGTTCTTGTATCATACATTCTAGGCAATAAACTGATGATAGACAGTTATATTGGATAAAAGTTGATCCCAGTAAAACCGGTATTTATTGAGTCTTACCCTCTAGAAAGGGAAGGGGAAAACCTAGTCTTTGTCAAAAATTGTTGAACCACCTCATTAGGCTGAATTATCCTTTTTAATTGGATTTGTACAAAATCCAAAGGTGGTGCTGCAGGCTTGTCCTCGGACCAGTGATGCAATACAAAGAATGGTTGTAGCTTCCCATTTTCTATTACTACAAATTTATTTTGTGGTCACCTCATCATTATGATGAACGTCAAACAGTTTCGTTTTTCTTTTGTAGGCCAGGATAAAAGCCATCAACACATTTTTTGCAAAGAATGGTTACCGTGTGGCTGATTCCAGTGTATATGTTCAGCCCGTTCAGACTCAAGCACAGTTTGCCTCACCACTGTTTATGCAGCCTGTATATAGTCCTCAGCAGTACTCCATCTACAGTATTGTGCCTCAGACATGGTCTCCAAACCCTGCACCTTACTTTGAAACGCCACTGGTATGTAGTTGTTGTTTGTGTTTCAGATGTGAATAACTTGGGTTTGATTTATTCTGAAGGCTAAAGAATATTGTACATCATGATGAGTGTTTTTTTTAAAGGACAGCTTTTAAAATCCTTAGATATTTTCAATCTGTAATGGAAAAACAGTAGTGTTGTTAAATCTGGGCCTCTTCCAGCTATGCACTGCAATTAGTCCTCTTGGTTTGGGAAATAGGACAATGCCATTTCTAATAGTTTACACACAGTTCTTTTGATTCCAGATTGGAGACAGGGAATTATCTCCGTGGAATGTCATATTTACAAGGTGGATTGGAGGGGGTGTGAAGGAGCTCTGCTGGGCAAAATTACTCCTAGCTAACACTCTATAGGAGCATATGTATGCACTGCAATTAGTCCTCTTGGTTTGGGAAATAGGACAATGCCATTTCTAATAGTTTACACACAGTTCTTTTGATTCCAGATTGGAGACAGGGAATTATCTCCGTGGAATGTCATATTTACAAGGTGGATTGGAGGGGGTGTGAAGGAGCTCTGCTGGGCAAAATTACTCCTAGCTAACACTCTATAGGAGCATATGCAGTGGTGCCTCACTTAACGATGTTAATTGATTAAAAAAACAATTGAGAAGCAAACTTCCTCTTGTTATAGACTAGTTCTGTCTTTCTCTTCTTGCTTGAGTTATGATATCATACCTCCATTTTCCTGCTTTCCTTCTTTCCTGAGCCCTCAAAACCAGTATGGGAAAAAAATACATTCCTTGTCATGATTAATTGTTTCCAAGGAAGAAAAATATAGCCAATTAAAGTACAAGGTTTCCTCCAGTGGAATGCATTGAAGCCTATTCAATGCATTTCAATGGTTTTGCGATGTCCATTTTTGCAAATTTAAGTGTGTCTTAAAAGGTTTAAAAACTGTTTTAAATGCTTGCAATCATTAGTGCACCTTCTAAAACGGGGGGCAAACTTAATTTGGCTTTGATCTGACTTTTCGTTAATTTTTGCTGATTTTTCCCCCCACCAACTTTTGACAGCTGTCAAAATTTGACAGCTCCATTGTTTCCTATGGGGGAGAAAAAAGTTCACAAAAAATTAACGAAGACTCAGAACGAAGCCAAACTAAGTTTGCACAGGTTTT